CCTCGGAGAAGCCAGCTCTGGGCTCTGCGTGTTTGTGCGTGTGCCACCGAGCCTTTGGAAGCCGCGCCCCACGACATTCGCTCCTGGAGACATCAGAGGCCGAGCTCCCAGGGTGTTGGCACCCTGTGTCCCCGGGAACCAGACACTCCACTGGGCATCATTGTCCTCCCACCACTTTGGACCAAAAACAGGCCTCCAAGCTCCTCCTCCTTTTAAGGCTAAATGGCTCCCACCTTGGGAAACAGAGCATCACTGCTCTAAAATTACCCGTGGGGGGCCGCGCGCACACGCGGCCTGACTCCTCTCACCCCCAGGCCCTTCTTCGAGGCCGGGTCTCCTGGATAATCAGTCTTAAAATTACAGAGACGTCAGAATCTGAGCGTGCAGGGCTGGGCAGCAGCTTTTGCCTGGAACACCCCCAAGTCCGTGTCTCTGGGTCCACAGGGCGGCCAGTGGGGCCCAGCCCTCGCTAAAGCTGTCCTGGGGACCCCGGAGGAGCCAGCCTGGGGGCTGTGTGACTGTAGCGCTGGACCGCTGGCCACCTGAGGCCTTGGGGCCGTTTCCCCCGTGACCTCGGAGCTTCCCACAGGCCCTGGCCTGTTTGTTGATTGAGCAAACGAACATGTATGTCAATATTCAGAAACGAAAGCCAAGGGGATGAGGTAATCCACTCGAGTAAATTCTTCAGATAATTGAAAACCCATCAATTCACATTAACGTTTTCCACCAGCGTCTCAAGCAGAGGCAGATGCGTTTTTTTCAACAGATGATGCTTAAGTGCCAGTTCCAGGCTAGGCGACGCTCTCGGCACCAGAGAGGCTGACTTTCTGGGGGAGACAGGCGCCCAACCAAGAAACAGGCAGCACACGGGCACGTCCATGCAAAAATCGCTCCTGCCGCCTCCCGCGGGGGCCTCCTGCGGGGCGCGCCCCAGGCTGGGCGCACCGCTGTGGAACCTGCCCTGGGGACAGGTGGCTCCTCCGAGGAGCCAGCTCCACAGCCCGTCCCCCTCGAGGCTGTCTCTTAATTAGCCAAATAAACAGCACCACGAGAGATGTCATGATTTACTCAGCAAATGATCAAAATCATTGTTCTTCAGACCCCAGGGCAATAAAACGCAATTATGGGGAGATTCATTCTGGGCAGGGTGAGCGGTGGCTGTGTCAGCGGGCAGCGGGGTCTGGGTGGAGGGGGCGGGAGCTGGAGGGTGGTCCCTGGCAGGCGGACAGACCACCGCCCTCCGAGAGGAAGCCCAGGGGCCGTCTCCTCGCACCTCAAGCTCCATCTGTCCCCAAGGAGACAGCCGGCAGGCCCAGGTTTGGGGGGACACACCTGACACAGGTGTGCTTTCCTCCATAACGACAGGGAGGCACTTCCTGGCGTGTCCCGAAGCACCAGGAGGGGGCGGTTAGAGTCACTGAACGTTCCCGACGCGCACGCGGGGAGGGGAGCGGCGGGTGACAGTGGGAGGAGGACCTCCCCATTTTGCTGAAGTGAAATTCCTACATGAGAGAGAGATGCTACTGCCCCCTTGGCCCTGAGGGTCGTAGGTCACCCAGCAGGGGACAGACGTGATTTTGCCAGAGTTGTGGAGTCACCAGAAACCGCGTGCAGGCCAGGCACTCTGCCCACCACAAACTGAGAAGAGCAGGTGGGGCCCTTCAGTGTTAATTTGCCGGAATGTTCCGGCACAGGATTTCCAAGCAGAAAGCTGCGCCCTTGGCGTCTCAGAATGCAGGGGGAATGATTGGTTTGCTTTGATTTTGAGCCCATCCCCAGAGGGGCGCCCGTCCTGTGTCTGCGAGGGGCTCTCCCCGGGTCCCCCTCTCCTGCTTGACTCGCAGACCAGACCCCACGGGGGCAACCACGCTCCTGAGCCCGGCCGGCCACGGAGCCACTCCGCCACCCCCCCACCCTCGGGGGGTCCAAACCGTGCGGGACCCTTCTCGGAGTCTGTGTGTCGTCTGTGCTAGAATGTCACTCCCTGTTCTTCTCCAGTAAGTGAGCGCGTGTGAACTGTAGTAAGATCACAGCACCCCGGCTTACAGAACGGAATCAGCAGCGTGAGCGTGAGCGGTCTCACACACAAAGGTCACAACCGCCGTGAGAGGACGCTCCTCCATGCACCCTCCCTGGGAGCCGACTCTGACGTCCCTGGGCGGCCCCGGTTCCCCCGCTGTGATCCTGGAGCCCTGACATTTCCCTTGTCCCAGGGCCTGCTTTGGGCCGAGCTGACCGCAGGCCTGGGGCAGCATCTCAGCCGGAGCACGAGGGACGCCTGGCGCGGTCAGGAAGCCCGGGAAGGCCCGGGTTCCGGAGCTGGAGTTTTCCCTCCTAACCTCGGGCCCTGTTTGCAGGCGAAGGCAGGGACCACAGCAGCTGCTTGGCAGGCACCGCAACAAAGCCAGACAGACGTTGTCTGTCTCAGGACGCGAGCAAGGCTGCTCAGCAGGGAAGATGTTTCCACCTGAGGCCCAGACCAATGTCCGGGAGCTAGAAAGAAACCACTTACACCTTATGATTCATTTCCAGCAAAAGTGGGTTCACCCTGAACTTTCGGGGTGCCTGCTTCCTCCTCCCCCTCCTTCCTGCCCGATTCTGCGCTCGGTGCTCGACCACGAACAGCTGCCCCGACCGCGCTGGGCGACACGGGAGGCCGCGAGGCCCAGCGGTGGTCCCGGAGCGGGCGGGCGGCGCCCGAACTCGCCAAGAACACGGGGTCAGACAGACAAGGCCAGTGCGTCTGGAGCAGGCCGGGGGGACACGCGGGACGGAGGCAAACACCCCCGAGCGCCGGCAGAGAGGCGGCGGCCGGACCCGGGCGAGGAACAAAGCCACTGCAGGGGCGGGGGGCGCCGAGGAGGGGCGCGCTCCCGCACGTACACGGGCGAGAAGCAGTATCACAAAGCCAACAGGCGCCGGGCAGATAACAGCCACGGCCTGTACCAGGCCCGGCACCCAAGGCGGCGCTGATACGGCCGTTTCTGTGAAAATAGAGCAAACGGGCCGCAGCAGAGGAGACCAGAGCCAGGCTGCCTCAAGGTCACCCACGGGGCTACCTGGGGGTCCTTGACCCGCCAACGTCTGAAGCCCCTCCTAGCTAAACAGTCCAGGCCTCCCTGAGTGCGCAGCACCAACACCCTTACTTTCCTCCGGGCCAGCCGGACCGGGAGCACGGGACAGGCCCCGTGCAGAAAGCGTCACACAGCCCGAACCACTCCCCTGGCAGGGTGTCCGAAAACGCTCTCCTTCCCCGGGAGGGCGACCCTGTGGGTCTCGAGAGCGCGCGCCGTGCTCCGGGCGGCCCGCATCGCCCAACCCCCTCCCCGGCCCCTCCCCCACCTGGCCCGCCCAGTCTGCAGGGGACCCAACCTTGAGAGGCTCGCGCTGAGTCGGCTGCCCGGGGACGACAGACTCACACAGTCCAGCTTTCAAGCTGTGGCCTCCATCAATTTGAGTGGGGATATTGGCAGGCCTGTTCCTTTGTCCATCTGGTCAACCCACCCCCCACCCCCTGCTCTAAACCTTCAGAGCCCTTTGGAGAGCTTGGGCTGTCAGCTGGCACCTGGGGAGGGGGTTCTGTGTCCCCTGTGTGCACACGCCATGTGTTACCATGAACCACACCCCACCTGCCTGCTGGAGGGGACACACTTGTGTCCTTGTGCAGGGAGCAGGGCTCTCGGATCTGCCTCCACCACCACCAGCACGCGCACCGACCCAGCCAGCCTTCTTGAGATCCTTACAAGGGGTTTCAAAAGCAGATGGGCCCGGGGGAGACGCTCAGGGCTGCGGGGGGCCAGGAGCCTCCCGGGGGCAGGGAAGAGGCCATGCACTGTGCACCCCACGTCTCTAGGGAGCAGTGCAAAACCGCAGACTCTTGAGATGGCAAAGACAGACCCAAGTTCACCCCTCTCTGTACGCAGAGCGCAGAAGTACACCCAGTTTGAGAACTCCTCCAAAGCCACCAAGTTGGTTGCCCTGACCCTCGCTGCCCTAGTCCGCCTGTAGGGGGCACGGCTGCCGGCCGCACAGGGTCCTCTTCCCTCTGTGGACAGCTCGCCCCTTCCTGGAGCTGACCCCCATCCAAGCACTTTTGGAAGCTGTGAAACACCCAGAAGGAATCTGGCTTTGTGTTTGCATTTTCCATCCAGGCAGCGTCCTGGCCAGAAATACCACCGAACACTGGCTACATGGGGAGGGCAGAAAGGCCAGGACCACTTGTGTGGGGCCCATGGTCCTCATGAGACCCCCTTGAAAGTCCCCCAAACTGGGGCCCAGTGACCCTCGTGGCCGGAGCAGGACGCCTCCAGAGGGAGGGCCACCTTGGGGGAGGCCGGCTCCCACCCACCTAACTGACCGCCCCTCTCCTGACCACATGTGGGCCCCAGGATGCTTGAGCCAGGCCCAGATCGTCAGGGAAACTGAAACCAAAAGACTCCCCTCTTCGCCCCCACTAATCTGAGAGGTGAGGGGTCCTGTGACGGAACTGGGGGACCTGGGGACGCTGGGTAGGAGGCCCTCGGCCTGGACGCGCACTGGGCACGTGGCAGCAGTGAGGCCACCGGGCATGCTTCACGAGCTGCCCCTGAGCGGCTGCTCCTGCCAGGAGCTGGGCTCCCATCTGAGGAGCTCTCCCTGGATTCGAGACTCCTGTCCTGGGACAGCCCATCAGTCTTCAGGGTTCTGCCGAGACTGCAGCCCTAGCACCTAAGATCCAGACGGGAAGCACGGGGTGTTTTAAGACATGAGCTCATTAAAGACACATTTCCGGGAAGAGGGCGGGTGCAGCCCCGGGGGCTGCCAGGCGTCGCCAGGCCCCTGGTGTTCTCAGGGCCGCGTCCTGCAAGCTGCAGGACGAAGCGAGCCTGGGAAATGTGACATGCGAACGCTCTCTCCGACCAGCCTCCTGCCTCGGGTGGTGCTGCGTAGCCCGGGTTTATAAATAGATGGGACACAAGATAAGTGGCCGCGGTCAATCACGCGCCCGCAGCGGTGCTCACCTCCCATCCGAAGTCTGCCTCCTTCAGCGGGGCCCGGGGCGCCACCACGTAAGGGCCGAACCGCTCCCCGACTTCCATCTTCTTCTTGGCCCAGACCCCCAGGCCGGCCCCCGGGATGGAGGACTCACGGAGCTCGAAGTCCGGTGGGATGGGGATGTCCTCGGGGATGTAGACGGGGGCCTCGTACGGCGAGCCTTCCTTGGGGGTGAAGTCCTCGCTGGTGGGGAAGGGGGACGGCGGCCCCATGGGGATGGGGGACATGACGCTGTCCTCCGTCTCGTCCTCCGCGCTCTCGCCGGCCAGCAGGTCAGGGTCCGGCCCATACATGTTATTTACAAGGTCGCCGTCACCTGGGGGAAAGAAGGCAGCGTCAGGCTCTGGGGCCCGGCTCCCCGGCACTCGAGGCTCGGGGACCACCGGGGACGTAGGTCAGAACAGAACCTGGGGCTCCAGAGACCCAGAGGCCACCCGGCTGCCACCTCTGCCCCGGGGACACGGCTTCTACTCCGTCTGGGCCCAGCAGCCCTCACTCCCTGCTCGGGGCTCCCCAGGGACGGTCCCAATCCCAGCAGGTGCCCCGGGAGCAACACAGAGAGCTCTCCCTGGGCCCCCGAGGCCGCAGGCCGCGGCCCGAGCACATGCTGACCCCAGGAGCAGCACAGCTCTCCCTGGGCCCCCGAGGCCGCAGGCCGCGGCCCGAGCACATGCTGACCCGTTCTGCGCTCATGCAGGGAGGGAAGGAGGTGCCCGCCTTCCACAGGGGAAGCATTCGTGCCAGAAGCCTTGCGGTTTGCATCTGCAGCCTTGGAAGTGAGAGGACGGGGACAAGTCCCAGGTTCCTGGGTGGACTGTGAAATTTGCCCCAACACCAGGGCAGCTCGGGAAGGACGGCTGGGCCCCGGGGAGGGCTCCTGGAGTCCCCAGGGACCTCACGGCGGGTGAGGACAGGGGCCTGCTGGGGTCATGAGGATGAGACTCATGGGAGCAGGACACTGGACTGAGCAAAAGGGTCCCCAGCTTGTCTGTCTGGTGTGGGCCTCTCCTTGGGGCCCAGCCTAAGAGGCGGTCGATGCCAGGACCGTGCCTCCTAGGAGGGCCCCAGAGGGCGGCCTGAGGCACAGAAGGGGGCATAAAAGGTTGGCGGTGGGGGAGAGAGGGCAGGCAGGCCGGTTGGACGGTCAGGAAACGAGCTTGACTCCTCGGGGTCCCCCCGCAGAATTGAAAACAGGAACACGGGTGGGTGAACACAGCAGCAGCGTCACCCGCAGTGCCCCCACCGGGGGGAAACAGCCCAGGTGTCCATCCACGGAGGAGAGGGTCAACCAATGTGGTCCATCCACACCACGGAATGTCATCCAGCTATTTTAAAAAAGGATCACTGACCCAGGCTGCACCGTGGACGGGCCTTCAACGCCACACTGAGTGAAGGGAGCCAAACACAAAAGGCACATGTGGTGTGATTCCGTTCATGGGAAACGTCCAGGACAGGCAAATCCACAGGGACCAAGATGAGACCGGTGGGGGCGGGGAAGGCCGACTGATGGGCGTGGGGCCTCCTTTGGGGGAACAGAATGTCCTGGAAACGGAGGTGGTGGCTGCACACCTTTGTGAGTGAGCCCCATGCCACTGAATTGCACACTTTCAAATGATTAATTTTACGTGATGTGAATTTCACCTCAATAAAAGTAAAGAACTCAGAAGTGGGGGGGCAGAGGGGAGGGCGGGGTGGGGGGCGCGGCCGGCCGAAGCTGACCTCTGACCCAGATGCTTCCACCCAAGTCACTCCTTCTGCGCTGGTTTGAAAACCTTAGAAAGTGACCCAAACGCTGTGGTCACTCTGGCCGCGGGCTCAGGCCGCCTCCCTGCTCCCTGACGGCGGCCGCCGAATAGCTCGTCTCCAGGGAGACAGGGACTTTTAAGCGCAAGGAAAATGACTTCAGATTCCTCGCGCTCGTTGCCAACAGATCCGCTCAAGAAGTAACAAAATGTTTTCTCTCAAAAGAAACCAAAGTCCTGGGGGGAGAAAAAGCCATGGGGATGACACTAATTTAGCCGCATTCGCAGACGTCATTCTGATGTTCCAAGCGGCCGGCGGTGCCTTTCTGACTCGTGGGACTCTCTCAGGGACTGAACCGCAGAGCAGCAGCGGGCGCGCCCCTGCCCCACCCCGAGGCCTGAGGCCGGCTCGGTTTGGGAGGAC